TAATTTAATTTATTTTCAGTTACGCCAACCGAGCATATACTTCAGCAGTCATATAATATGCACGATGTACCATACAAATTGAAGTGACAGTGACACAAATTTGTTTTCATCAGCCAACAGCCAATATTTTTATAATTATCAAAACACTAGTAGTTGGACGCAACTGTTTTTTTTTTTTTTTTTTTTGTAATCTGCTAACATTAGTTATCTATAAAAAACAGCTAGTAGTTTAATATTGATACATTTTTTATTTTCTTGAATCAATAATTGATGATGATGCAATATTATAATGTCTTATCAATATTTAAATATATTTTCGTATTGATTTATCATAATATAGAAGTTAATTTATCACAGAATATTTTTAAATTATTATAAAGTAAGCAGCAATAATATTTACTAGGCTAAGCGAGAATTTTTTATTAATTAGTGTACTTTAGTACGCTAGATATTATATCGTGTGCACTATTGTGGTGTTTTAAATAAAGTAGTGCGTTACAATTAAGGTACTACTACTCTCAAACACTGCAAAATATCCAGTAAATATATTTCTAATCTGTTTATTGTATATTATCCAATACACATTTCTTATTGAAATATCTTAGTTGTTTTTTATGTAATGGTAAAATTTCATTTTTCGTCTATTTATGGGATGAAATTATTTTCAAAAAAAAGAAAAAAATGCATTGATCGCCAGTAACTAAAAAGTTCACGAATATATTGCAGACACAGATAAAAAAATGGAAACAACAAGTTTGCTATTCTCAGCAGATCACAATGTTTTTTGATTATACCTATGTTTAAAAATTATTCAAGTACCTATCAAAATAATAATTTATTATCCAAAGTCCAAATACATTTATGTAAATGAAAAAAATTTAGTAATATTTATTTTGGCCAAATAAATCGAGCCAGGAAATATACACCCCTTATGCATTGGCAAAATATTTAAAACACATTTTTGCCCGGAGCGCCGATGTGCCGAGGTTTTTTGTAGCGCCGAGTTGGGTATATAAATTCATAACATTATCTATTATCCGTGGTCATATTATTGACGCATTTAATATATTATCGTAAACATTTTGTTTTTGAAAAACAAAAAGATTTATTGGTATAAAAGGGGCAGGGGTTTTGTTGCAAGAGGTTTTAATTTTTTTCCTACGACGGTAAAATAAATACATACATACATTTATATATATATATATAAATTATATACGTTACGTATACCTACTGCCTACTATCGATAATAATGTACTTATTTTGCGGGATGTGGTCTACTACGTTAAGCGCGTGATGATAATTATTATTTATTACCATTAAAGTGCAATATGATAGCAATAATTTGTATTATTTTGTCGTTTTTCGGAGAGGCCAAGTTCAAGACGAAGTGCAATAAAACACTGCGGCGTGCGGCGATTTCGCCTGGAACCACACGAATGACAATACGAATATAAGTCCTAATATCATTATATATATATAAATACAGTATGCGATGTGCGGGGCCGACGTCTGCGGGTACTTTGTACACATCGGACGCGGGGGAATTCCAAGCACGTTTACTTATACCCGGAGCAAGAGACGGCGCTTTTAATTGGACTCGCCGGACACGCCCAGTTCGTACACTGCCTCCGGCGGTGGCGGTATACCGTTCGCTAGCGCGCGAACAAACGGTGACGGACGGACACGGACGGACGTCGCCGCACACGAACGCACGCACGCACTCACGCACGCACGCACTGCGCACATCGCATAAGGTATATAATATATTATTATAATGGTAATAATATGTGTGTCCGAAACAAAATCTGTGTACGGCTTCCCGTTCACCCGGTCGCAAAGCGCGATTTAATAATACAACGTTATGTATATAAGTACGCGGGTAGCCGCGCCACCATTTTACCGATCGGATTACTCTCCCTCTCTGCATAATAATATAATAATATAATAGTATATCCACGTAATATAATAATAATAATAATAATAATAATAATAATACATAGGTGGTACGCATAAATCCCTCCACACTCGCCACCGCCAATACAACAATATATTACAACACCCTAGAAAATCCGATATTCGTCTTCACTTGCCGGTCGACTGATTGCCGCGCGTGCGAAAATAATGATACGGGGATAAATATAATATTATAACAATATAAGAGTAGACTTGAGACTTAACACCACGGCGACGAGCGTGCACGCGTACCTGCATATAGATAATACTATATAATATCCGATAAAGGAATAATACTACGAAGATGTCTTGGTCGGCCTCGGATGTAGGTATAACATTATTAACGTTACACGATATATTAAAATAGTATCTACTATGTAGAACAAGAGAAACAAACCAGCAGTCGATCGCGATCGACTGACCGATCTTTAAAGAATAATCAAATAGGTAGGTCGTAATGAAAAATAACTATTCCAGTATCGGACTACAGAAATTTGTTTGATCTGGATATAAAACTATTTTGCAACTATAAGTCTATAAATAATGACATAGCAAAAAAAAAGATTTTATACTTTAAATTTCCTCAGAGTTTTGTAGCGCGATACATTCAAAAATACCCAAATTCACGCGGATATTGAGCATAGCATAATAACAATAATTTTGATTTAACTTTAAGGACAACTGTTTCTTTACAATACTATATGCCAAATATCACATTAATAATATATTCTATAGAAAAATATCGTATACATAAATGGAAACAGATTTTAAACTTACGATAACGACAAGTATATTTAGATACATTCATAATATAATCGATATATAAGGAGGTGACGACGGAATGATATATATATATATAATATGTATAATTTACATGATAATAACGTTATGATCAAAATGCGTGTAGGAATATAATATAGGTGTAAGTCGCCAGGGGAGAAACGTGCGTGCGAAAAAAAAATAAAATCGAAATTCACGTGTCCGCGTGTGTGCATAAATTACATTGGCTGGCACACCGTGTTTTCTCGTTTACCCGTGTACCTATTAGCAAAGGGGGAAAATCGGAAATTAAAAATCACAATAGGCCACCCTGTACGCATTAATTTAAAAGTGTACACAAGTGCTGTAACTATATAATACTTTGTGTTGTGAGACGGTATAAACGGAAACTAATAATAATACAATAATTCGATCTTGCGTGCGATTCGGAGAAGGCTGACACCGTGTAGTTATAGCATGGTTTTAACACGGGACGTCGTCGATAAAATATAGATATTATAGTCCCCCTGCGAAAGACCGTTAAACTTTCAATAGTTGTTTCCGCACATACACGTGGCGAGAGGCGTAGATTTACAGATAAAATGCGAGGTGTTTGCGAATTGGAATTAAATTAATTTATTCTATAAATACATGACAATAAATTATAATAAAATTTAAAAGATAATAATTTATTAAAATAATGTAGGTATTTATTGTATCGTTCTGTCGTCGCGTTTCCCATCAAATTTCCACAGTTGCGTTATCGCATATGGAAAATATACAATAGGTACATAGATACTGCAAGAGCATACCAAGGCAACACGTACAAATGTATATAATATTTTTTTATAATGGTCAAAATTTGAATGTAAAATCATCCACCCAGAGTTTGTCACTAAAGATGGCGTTTTATTTATCATACACGCGTGCCCGTAGTATTACGTTTACTTACTTACGACACGCTGAACCGTAAAACTTGTTTTCTACCAAGTTTCTAAGACCCTTTATACACTGAGTATTTGTTGTAGTATACATATATATATATATAAAAGAAGAAATACGACAGATTTGCAGTGTTTTGAATGTATACTTAAACACTTCGTCCGAAAATAAAGCGGACTAAAATAGTGTTTCAAAACTAATATATTATACACATATAATTGACAAGATTTATCTGTAGTGGTATAAACACACTATATAGTGGAGCGACAGTGCAGGCGGTGCACTAATACATTTGATCCGTGAAATGCTCGATGAACGTTAATTAATTTTTTTGGGGAAATGTGTCACTTTTGACAGCTAGTTGACCTCTTTAGTTGACGGCCTCGAGTACCTCCGGGGATGTTAAAAATTAAAATATTCTCTCATTCGAACACGAATAATATTTCGAAAAGTTTAAACATTCGACTAGATAATAATAATAGATAATTTATATTATAAAAGAAAATGGTATTATACGTGGAAATAATACTATAAATCTGTTTTAGTCATGTATACTTACTATATAAATATATCGAACATACTACAATGGATTTGTGATGCGGTATTAAACGATTAAAGAAAGTCGATCAAACTTTATCCAACAAGACGGGTCAAGATAAGGAAAGTTAATAATTTTCTTTTTCAAAAAACGTGGTTTATTCTTTGTCTAGGGAGGTTTTCCTAGGGAAATATAAAGGTGTCAGCCCGATAACAAATAAACCGTATTATTTTCAGGATGAGCATACGGTTTTTCCCACGCGAAGGGGTGCAGGATCGTAAAAGAAGATTACTTAAGTATACCATATTGGAGACCACCCGATCATATATGAGTTTCGATCAGGGTGGAATCGAGAAATCCATTAGTCTCGCCAGTCCCGCTGCCAAAGATGACTATAATCGAGGTCATTGTACGAGAGTTCGTTGTTTTAATCCGTTACACATGTTATTAGATTTTTCAGAGGCATTTTTATCATTGTCCATAAAAACAAATAAGAAAATTTTAACAGCGCGCTTACTGATTGTGTATAATATATATAACTTTAATATAAGTAAATGTATATAATTTAAAATCTGTCATCTCATCGAGGCCGGCAACGATGCTACAGCACCAATCTGGTCCATTTAACATCAAAAATCCATATAATTCGGTCGTAGATTTTTATGATATAGATTTTATCTAGTGGAAAAATACGCCAGTGAAATTTATACTAGCATGTAAAACTATTTTTCCCCGACGCATTCCTTACTACCAATAAACAATATAGGAAAATATTGTATACATATATCTTATAATATTATTGACTCACCCCTGCTGCGTTAGCGTCCGGTCCGTAAGGATACGTAGTCCATCGGAGGCTGGGTTCGGTAGTAGTGTCCAAAAGTACAACTAAAAAAAAAAAAAATATATAAATATTATATACTATTATACGGAAAGTTAGAATACGTGATGAGTATTGCTTGCAAAATATATTATTTATACAATGAAAAAACATTAATTTCGAATTTTTATTGGAAATAAAAACTATATTTAATTCTCAACGTTATATATTAATGTGTACACTGATATAATAATGGCGTGTTTATTTTCACACCTTTTTATATGTATGTATATTATAATACTTGTCTCGGATTTCAGTATTATGCATAATCATAAATAATAAACAATTGACATTTTTTAGTTACTTTATAATTATATATTATTTACAGTTGGAGCAGTTAAATAAGAAGATTTGGGTTTATTTTACGCGATTTTATTGCAGTATAATTCATTTAACTAATTAAATCACGATTTTGCCATAAAAACGTCTCTTCCTACCAATTTAGGTATGGGCAGGTATACCACTTTTCCTTATATACATACATTTATGGACCTATTCATTGTAAATTCATCTAATACTTTATATAGATTGAGCTACTATATGGGTAGGTCAGGTAACTGCTCAAAATTCATCCTATACCTATTATATTGTATATACTTATACCTACTAATATATATATATAGCATATGGAACACAGTGAATTTGTCCCGTGAAAACCGTACACGACGAAGTAACATGAACTAAAGGGCCCACGGGGGCTATGTGGGAGAGGTTGATGGTGCATATAAGTGTATATATAATATAACTAAGGGACTGCGAACATAAATTTCGACGGCGTGGTATATAAATGACTGTACGAGAGTTTCTCATTTGTTCAATTGGCCTCCGTCCGCCCTTTTGCGTGTTAATACCCTCATCCCCCCTCCCGAGCCACGGAAAACCCGTCCCTTCCTCCACAAATCCTCTCCCTTTACCAATCAACCCGTCACACGGCATTCGGCTACATTGCAGCAGTGTCCGTCGTATACGTATACTATATATAGGTATGTATATTGTATATATTGAATATACGAAAAAGGGACACGTAATCTGTTTACTCCCTCTCGCCTGGTTCCATTTATATTAATTAAATTCCCACGGGCCAAAACCAATAAATATATATATATATATATACGTGTATACTACGATTATGCTACAGCAATGTACACATTATATTCTTTTTCTAGGGAAAATCGACTTTTAATACCTTTATCATTTGGGGTTGGTGAAGTGGGGAGTCGAGGAATCGTGATCGGGTGGTGTCGAGGGGTTGCCCGCCTACATGAGCCTTAATGAAGTTGTACACTCCGATGGTGGCGGCGGGGGTGGTGGTAGTACACTGTAATTAGCCAGCGCTTATACCACTTCTCCTACCACCCAAACACAAATCCGGCTACTTAACAGGCGTCTCACACGCGAAATGGACATTAAAAATATTAGGTAGAAACCGAGAAAATAAAATAAATAACGATTTATTATAATATGTATATATATTCTGTGCTCTTATGAGGAGGGTTGGAAAAACTACTTTGAGACATGTGAAACAACTCTATAATGATATTATCGTTGCTAGCGATCGGATTTTTAGGTGTATGCGCTAGCATAGGGAAGACTTACGGTGCTCCTATATAGCAAATACATATTTATAAAGTGGTAAGAGGGATTTTCAAGTATATACCTGTATATAGATATACATAGGTATACAATTTATACTGTATGATAGAAAGGGGGAGCCCTACACGCACTGCTATGTGATTTTATTGTTTCCGGCCATTTTTGTTCGCGCACTCTTGATTGGTTGCTAAATAAAAAAAAACGCGCACACACGACATCGTTTTCATATTATGCACATGCTAATTTCGCCGAGTGCTTATGCACGGTAACCTACCCTCTATGCGACGTAAAAGACAAATAGAAAAGAACCTTTTTACTTAAAATTTTTCCCTTTTTTCATGTGCATAAGTAAATTAATATATTTTTTTACCATTTTTTAAATAGCTACACTTTTTTGTCACTTATACATTATTGCAAGGCGTAAGTAATATGTATAATTAGTACCTACATAACTATTCATTGTTGAAATATTTCTATAAGAATCTGAAATAAATTATACTTACAAAACTAGTAAGCTATAATAATGCTGATAGCCTATCTTATGTGAAAAAAAATAGATGACTGTTATATTGAGTTTTTTTAATTTATAGTAGCAATTTTGATGTATACGTATAATATATTAGTATAATGATTTTTAAACATTAAATTCTTAAATAACTAGATTATGAATATAAAATATGTGTAGTATATTTCACATAATATAATATAGATGTGTAAAAATATGAATACATGTATAGCAGAGACTTAATGAAAATCGTGTAATCCAAAATTATATTAAATTTTTATGCATATTTTTATTTTTATACCATTAACAACGACGGCCGTAATTTGTATTGCACACACGCCATTATAATAATTATTATTATGGATAAACGACGTGATACACGGCTGTAGGCGATATGTATTCTTTTTTTTACAATATATATGTATATAATATTTAGTCTTGTAACATATAACATCTTTTATTATAATTATTTTCAATGGTTAATAATAACACAATATATATTATAAAACTATCACAACGCGTAAACTATATTAATAGTATAAAAATAATGTATAGGTATTAAAAAAAAAAAAAAATAATAATAATAAGAGTTAAAAGAAAAAACCGAAGACTAAAATGAATTATTGACTGGTCCAACGAGATTATATGTACGGCCAATTTAGTATTCAATGATGGAATTTGCATATATGCATATTATAAACATTTTAATATAAAATAAATTCTCGGGGTGTTAAGCTTTTTGTCTAATGCTGGCTATATTCAATAATAATAGATTAATTTTAAACCACAGAGACATAAAAAAGATCCCTCGAGATGTCTTTGATGTCTTTGCACTATAATAATATATATGATGATACACTTGCGGCACCACCCAAAAGTAGGTATATATTTTCACTATGCAGTGATGGCATTTTACGACTTATGCCCTGCAGGGACCAATTATTAGAATTTAATCCCCTTGAACCCTTCGATGATGCGAGGTTAAAAAAAATAAATCTTGCGTGTATACATAAATGTGTACATAGTATATTTACCACAAGTTAATTCAGTTAGGAAAGAGAGAGAGAGAGATGTAGAGAGAATGACGAGAAACAGAAAACAAGAGGGATTGAGAGGTAAAGAGGAAATGAGAGGCAGAAGAGCTGAGGGAAAAGTCGTAAAAGTCGTTGGTGCTGTAAGTTTACAAATTTTACAGGTCGCTTGTTGCGGATAGGGTCACATTAATGTATCTCGTCGTGGTTATAAATCGTACGACCTTTATTCCAAGCAGCAGTGCACGTATCATCCACAGTGTGTACGTTTTGTAGATAATATCATAATATTGTATGATATTAATATTAGGTATGTATTTTATAATTACGGTTTTAGATATATTATTTCCATGGCCGTAAAACGAAATACAAAAACCGTGTTACTCTCAGCTATAATAGTCGGCCGACGACGACTGGTTGTAAAATTATAATTAAATGGACGACGCGCGGGATATCATCACTGAAGATTCATCTGGCAGTGTTTTTTTTTTTTTTTATTATACGGCGAATGAAGTCTACGATTTTATTAGGAGATCCAATAAAATAAGCCCACAATTTATAATTTATTTTTTTTGCCAATAGCCTTCAAGTCGCGGTAATGTGTGTAGGAGAGAAAAGTCAAATCATAAAACATGTCCGAGAAATAAAAATACACAATATATACATACATATAAAGTGTTGTTTTTATTATTATCTACATAGATGCATTATAAACAGTGGAGCAAACACCAATGGAAACAATTTAGCAGAGTCCATAGATGTCAGGAATAACGGTGTGGTCTTTAAAAATAGTATAGGTACACGTATAGGTTCGTAGCCAACATATTATAGCCACGCAAATTTTATTATTACAAGCTTATAAAAAGAGAGAACATTTTTTTTTTTTTTTTTATTTATTTTTTATATTTAATTGCACGTTTTTATACCTACGATTTTGTTGTATATAAAAAAAAAAAACTGTAATACACAGGGATTTTTTATTAGACAACAAACAAAACTTTCATCAACTGCGGTACGGTAATGAAAAAAAAAAAATAATACATACATAATAATATCATACCTATAACATATCATACGCTACCTACGTGCAACACGGGCAAACAACAGACAATAATATAGTAATAAAAAAAATAACGATACACGATAGACGTGTGTGCGTAGGTAATTAAAAACAAAAAAAAAAGGTGGTAAGAGAGAGGCAAAAGGGAATTTATTGTTTTAGTTAGATGTAGTAAAGGAGCATGTTTATTATACGATTATATGCGTGTCGTGTTCACGTGTACCTATATATAGTGTAGCGATGAGTTTGCGAGTAGTTAACAGTCAGCGGAGTTTAAGTATCTATATAAAATGAATGCGATGATGAGAAACGAGGCTTTTGCTTATTTTATCTTAAATACCGCACATATATACAAATTTATTCAGGTACCTACTTGAAGGGTTGAGCCTCGGAAACACTACGACTGCTAAAAAGACCTTTAATGACGACGACATAAAGTTCATGTAGGATAGGTATAGAGATAGACTATAGGTATATGACCCATGTGGCTTCGCGATGAATTGCAGATTGGTACAAAAATATGGTCGCGTGGATGTACCATAAAACAAGATTATACGAAAATATACATACATGGGTACACGGTCTTACGTGAGTACAAATAAGACTTCTCCACAGATTCGAAGGCCGTTCAACGAGAGCGCGCGCCTGCCGCATAGACCACGGCGGTGGATCGATCGGCCGGCTCTTCAACCCCACCGGTGCCACGCGGGTGCGTATGTATACGAATATAACGTGTCTCTCTCGGGAACACCACCTTCCCCACCACCAGTAGCGGTGCTCTCCACCAAAAACGGCGCGAGCCAGCTATGAGGAGAAACT